GGCTGAGGTTGACCCCAAAGTTCAGGTAACCTCATAGCCTCCCTTTCCTGAGCACCTAACAGACGTCCTGACATGTACCCACTCCCATGGTCATGGCCACCTCCTGAGGCAGCTTTATTAGAGCACTGCCTTACAGAGGAGAAAGTGGAGGCCAGAGAGCTTAAGGACATTGCCTGAGAGGACACAGCTGTAAGAGCAGTGGTCGGCTCTGGATCCAGGTACCCCAGCTCTGGGCAGCCCTGTCCTCACTGCCTACCTCGCCCTCTCCTGGGGCCTGTCTCTGCATCTGACGTCTATGCAGCTGGCTCCAAGTGGCTAGGTCAGGGGACACTTAGGAAGGCGGAAGGACTTGCAAGCCTCTCTGGAGACCCTGGATTGCCTCACTCTGCACCTCCACCTGTGCTGCATCTGCCCTGCGGGTCCCTCTGACATCACTGAGACCGCACCTGCTCATCTGGAGAGGCAGGCCTGGCGTGGCTGAGTGAAGGAGCTGGCCGGGTGGCGGGGGAGGGCAAGGCCTAGCCTGCATGCCAGCTGGGTGGGGCTCACTGCCGAGTCTGCCGTGATGCCTGCAGTAGTCAGGCCTGCTCAGCGCCAGCCAGGTGTGTGAGGACACAACCTCACCTCACAGCAGCCCGGTGCCCACTCAGTACCCAGCTTGCTCCGTCCAGAAATTCTGCCTGATTTTTGCCCCAGGGCCCCACAGTTTCATTTTGCAGTGCCCGGAGCTGTGCAGCTGGTCCTGCTAGCCCCGCGAAAGCCTCTAGGCCTTGCCTCTCAGAGGGCCCAGGGGAAGGGACAGCAAGGCAAGGATGCTGATTTCAGGGCTCGTGTTCCTGAGGTCAGTGCCTGCAGAGATGTGGGAAGCTAGGGAAAGAAATCATGGCCCCTCCTGTGCGTGTGTGCGGGCAAGAAAGTCTGTGAGGGGCTCCAGAGCGTGGGCTAGGAGGCTGGCCAGCCCCAGTGAGGGAAAAGGGTGTTCAAGTATACAAGGCCGTGTGTGCGTATGTGCATGCACATGCACTTGCATGGTGTTGGGGATCAGCCCAAGGCCTCACCATTAGCCATTTAAAACGTGTTTCTCAGTTCTTCCCCTAGACAAGCAAGATCCCTGAGGCCAAGCCCAGCAGGTGGGTCCAGGAAGTAGTGAGACCCAGGCTTAGTTTGGGCGCCCTTCCTCCTCCCAGGTCCATTCCACCAAGGCCAGCATGCGACACCTGGGGCCACATCCTTCCTCCTGCAGGACCACTGCCTGGGCCTGCAGCCTGTGGCCTCCCCTCCCCCAGATCCAGCCCCATGCTCCCCCTGCTGTTTCCTGTCCTCCCACACCCTGAAGCACCTCTGAGGCCCTAGTGTCCTCTGTGGCTCAGTCAGGGCCACCCCAGCCCTCCCCTTGCCACCCTGCAGGCCTGGTCTGCCTCCCACATCTGCTCTCCTGCCTGGTGTTCCCTCTGCTTCCTGCCTGCTTATCAATTAGAATTGCCAAATGCCACACAGCAAGCTTGGGGTCCCTTGATGCCCCAGAGCCAGGGCCACCCTGTGACTTCTCGGGCCTGAGCTAGTTTTGCTTTGGGGCTTTCATTAAATTTTTTAAAATTACATTTTACAATGGTGTTAGTATAAAGTAGGTACAATTGAGTCTGGACTATATTCTTTTTAAATGATTTCTTATTTAAAAATATATGCCTGTGTGCATATGGTAGTGCATACATATAATCCTAGCAACTCAGAGGCTGAGGCAAGAAGGTAATAAGACCCAGCCCAGCTAGGGCAACCTAGGGAGACTTTGTCCAAAAATAAAAACTGGCCAGGGAGGTAGTCCTGTGCAGAGAATCCCACCCCCTAATACAATGGAAGGAACAAGGGAAGCATCTTCCTGAGACCCCAGAGTAGGGTGGGCTCCTGGCGCTGCCCTCCGGAGCATTGGGGGCCGGCTTGCGGGGAAGTCTGGGTCTGTAAATCACAGCATGGCTCCGCTGAAATCTTTACTCTCTAGTAAATCATACTGCAGGTGCCTGTTAAAAACTGTATTCCTTTTATTGGAAAAGGATAGTTACAAGGAATATTTTTATGAAAAATAACTGCTCCGCCCCTCGCAGCTGAGCGACCTGCCTCTCTGTCCAGAGGTGCGGCTGCTTCCACAGCCTGCTCTCCTGTCAGGGAGCCTGTGCTCTGTCCTCGCTACTCAGCAGGCTTTTACGGAAAGCATCTCCTGCGCTTCCAGACGGGAGCCCGGGGCTGGCTCACAAGCCCGCCTGCCCATTCTCCGCTGGCTTATGGCTTCTGCCCTGGCCTCTGAACCACCCTTCCCACGCCCACGCCCATGGCAGGACTTAACTCTCAGTCTGAGATCAGGAAGAAATGAGGGCTCTGCAGATGGTCCTTCAAAGGGCCACAGCTTCCAGGGCCCTAGCCCCTATCCTCCTGCCACCCAGCATCTCCTGCCACTGAGGACCAGCTGGGCTGTGCTCGCCACACTCTGGGGACAGCCCCGACCATCAGCATCCAGTCAATAGCACTGTAGAACCCTCAGTCTGACTTCCTGACTTTGCAGACAAGGACACTGAGTGTCGAAGATTAATAGACTCAGTCACAATCATAGAGCCAGGAGAAGGGACCTGCAAGTTGGGTCTTTAGCCCATGAAGATATTTTTGGTTTGAGACAGGGTCTTCCTATGTAGTTCAGAATGTTGTTGAACTCACTCTGAGCCCAGGCTGGCCTCCGAGCTCAGCTGATCCTCCTGCCTCAGCCTCCTGAGTGCTGGGATTACAGGGGCGCTCTACCCCGCCCAGCAGCCCCCTAAGATTTGCATTCTTCCCTGACATCAGGCCCTTGGAGGTCAGAGAAAAGCAACCTAATGCTTCTGGGCCGTTAGAATGTGTACTTAGGTCACAGAATTAGCGTTATGATTGTATTGCTTCCTGGCTTATCGTAATATTACCGTGATGGGAAGCAAAATGGAGGACTTCACAGGGCAACTTTGGTCAAGTTCAACTTTGGATGGCTGGGCTTGTCACAAGGATGAGCTTAACTGGTGTGTGTCCCCACGTTGGCCAACCCACGCCTTCCCTGAAAGGTCGTTTTGTCTCCGTTTTTGTTCACTCCCCTGTCAGCGTGGCTCCTGACAGCGGTGCCCAGTGACTTACCTGTTGAGAGACAGGGAGCAGATCAGCCTTTGTCCTAAGATAGCCAGGCCGACACTGGTACTGGCGACCTGCAGACAAAAGGGTGGACACTGAGGTCAGCGCTTCCGTCCACCTCAGCACCCGGATGTCATTTCCTATGGCAGCGACACTGTCAGCCCCGCTTCCCTCTGAATCAAAGGACGTCGGCAAGAGGTTGGTTTGGAAATCTTGTCTTTCAGGTAGAGAAACTAAGTATAAAGTCTATTGTTTAAGGGTCTCCATTAAATTAAAGTTTTTGCTTTTCACCTGATCTTACCTCCTGTCTTTCCTGCTCTAATTTTGCTTAGCCTCATTGTATTGGTTCCCTTCTGATTGCGTCTGGACTTCAAGTGAATGTGAGTAACCTTGAGCTCTACCCTGACTGCTTTATTTTGAAGAAAAAGAAATTTACTGCATGTCCCTGCAGGATGGGAAGGGCACTGGGCAGAAGAGACAGCTCATGAGGTGCGGGATAGAGCCCTGCCGCCAGCCCCTCTGCACGCCCTCCCCAGAAGCAGAGGGAAGCCAGGGCAGTCCCTGCTGACTGAGGCCCTGGACCACACCTGCCCTGAGCTGCTGCTGATAGCCAACTCCATAACACCCCGGACTCATAGGTATGACAAGAACAGAAGGTGATGCTTGATCCAAGCCCCTTCTCCGGCCTCAGCCCAGAAATGCACCCCAAGCCCTCCCTGGCACACCGCCATCTCCACGTGGGGCGGCCTCAGGAGCAAGCTCCTTCACTCTCCCAGAATGCGCTGCGTGGAGGTGCAGTGGGCCTGGTTTGGCAGGGCCCCACTGTCTGCCCTCCCCTCAGCCTTAATTGGGGTGTCAGCACTCACACCTCTAAGCCCCAAGAAACTTCCAGTCAAGGGTCCACCACAGAAACAACTGACACCCACAGGCCATGCTCCTGCCCTTCACGACTTACAAAGTCCATGGAGACAATGGGCTGCACCTCGGAGGTATTCCTGAGCTGTGTGAGCAGGAGGACAGAGGCAGGGATGTCCAGGGTGAAGTTGCCCGGCTGCAGGCGGACGGCTGGCGGCTCTGTGGCCATGATCCGCAGCATGAGGGGCTGCGGCAGGAGGTAGAGACCTGCAATCTGTCCCATTCAGGGCGAGAAATGGAGAGTGCGGGTCATGACCTGACGAGTGGGATTCACAGATCTGGTGCGGCCTGTGGAGACCACACCTGGCAGCACACAGACAGACTAGAAGAACCCTTTGAATAGAGCGGCGGCAGCATGCCAAGCCCACGGTAAGGACGGCCGACATTTCTCGTACATGGTGTGTACCAGTTCCCTTGCCGAGGGCTTCTCAGCCTCCCTCTGGGCTTTGCACCCCCCAGGTGGGGTCTTATGGATGTTCCTGCTTGCAACAGAGCCCGGAAACTCCAGGGAAGCTGGGAGGCCCTCTCAGGATTCTGGGAGAGGAAGACGTAGCACTGAGCGTCAGGCCTGAGGTCCTGTCCCTGAAATGTCTTTGTTCCCTAGGCCAAACCTGCAGATCTGTGCTGTCCAGTACCTAACTTGCAATGCAGGTGCAGTGTTAACAGGTGATTTAGGAAGTCACAAATGTGGCCATCCCTTCTTTTCTTAGGAATTAAATATTTGATTAAAGCTAATATATCCTTTAAGGTCTTTTTTTTTAAAAAAAGGATGGGATCTTACTATGTAGTTCAGGCTGCCCTTGAACTTATTATGTAGCCCAGGCTGCGCTCAAATGCATGGTGCGCCTCCTGCCTCAGTGTCCTGAGTGCTGGCATGACAGGAATGTACCCCACAGCCGGCCTGTATGTAATCACCTTACTTCAAGCGTGGTGGAACCTTTTGGAAGGAAGAGATTACTTTATGAATGTATAATGACTTCAATTGTAATATTCTTTAAACTTTAGCATGTACCATTTGAGGGAATTAGATTAAGAGGAAAAAAGAATTCTTAAGAAAGGAAAGAGGGACCCATTCCCGGGCCCAATGGAAGCACAGCCAACCCACAAGTCTGCAAATAACTGCAATGCAAGCGCGCTGCTGAGGAGCCGCGCCCAGAGCACCCACCTGTGAGAGCACAGCGCCAATCCCTTGAGAGTTCTGAATGAGGTGGCTGGAAATCTGAAAGGCAGATGCCATCGTGTGAGGACAAGGTTTTGCCTCCACTGTCTCTTGAGGAAAATGTGGGGTTCCACATGATCCTATGTGTGCTGAAGGGCTGTACCCTGAAGTGTCCAGGGGCCCTGTGGGTCCATAGCCCAACCCAGGGGACCTGAGTAAGTAAAGCAGGCGAGGTAAGCTGGGCGGTGGAGCGCACTGTCCAGGCTCACGCACGACGTGATGTGCCTGAGCAAGCGCTTGGGCTGTGGGAACCCGGAAGAGCCGCGTGCAGTGGTGCGCCCCGCGCACCCGTCCGCAGGCCTTGAGGACAGCCCTTACTTTCTGAGATTACTGAGACTCGGGCGCTTATGTGAGTTACCCTCGCAGGTGGATGGCTTCCAAGCCGAAGCTCCAAGCCTCTAACTGCCGGCACCTGCAGACAGCGCTGCTGTTACCATCTGAGCAGAAAAGGCAGCTTCCGTGCGTGCGCGCGCGCGCGAGAGGCGCACAGAAGGCGAGGCTGCTCAAGGGCGCCCGTGCGTGCGGTCGGCCGGCCGGCGGGCTGCGTCATGGCGCTCACAGTCAGCAGGCATCCACACTGTGACCGGGCGCTGCTGGCGCGAAGTCGGGCACCGGCACCGGCACCGGCAGGGGAACCCCGGATGTTGGTGTGACCCAGGAGCAATGAGGGGCGCAGCACCAGTGACACGGACTTGGGTGCAGGGCGTCGGTCTGGACGCTTCGTCTGTGCGTGAACCTGTCCACGGCCACAGAGAGCGGGCCGCGCAGGAGCTAAGCCACGTGAGCGCGGCCTGCCGCGCGGCGCGGAGGCCTCAGCCCTGGAGCCCGACGGCAGCCGTTGGCTAGCCCACAAAGCTCAGATGAGCAGAACTGGAAACTTAGCTGTCCGCGCGGAGCGCCGGGGCTCGGCCCACGACCCCTCCTCTCACTGCCCTGCAAGCTGCGATGCCTACCTCGAGCTGTGACGTAAACGCCCCCCAGTGACGCAGGCGGCCACCAGCTGCCACCTTTCCTCACCTCCTTGGTGGACAGCGTGATGCCGAAGGCACCCGCGGCGAAGTGTGCAAAGGACGCTGACCGGAAGAAGTACTCGGAGATGCCGACGTAGAGCATGGAGTCCAGGCGCTCCGGGAGCTCGAAGGGCTCGGGAGAGAAGGGCGGGTCGGCCAGGTCGGCCGGCGGGTGGAACGTGCCCTGCAGGACAGCGGGCCGGTTACCGGCGCGGAGCGCGCCAGGCCGGGAGGCAGGCGCAGCTGCAGGGGCTGCTCGCGGGAGGTCGGAGCTGCAGGGCGGAGCAGCCGCCTCTGAGGGCTCCCCAGCCCCGCTCGGGTGGGCGGGCGGCCCCGGGAGTGCAGGCTGAGTCAGGACGGAGAAGGCCCGCTGCGAGCCGCCCGCCGTGGGGCGCGCTCGGCCCTGCCCCGACCCGACCCGCTGTGAGCCGCGGAGGTCCTGCTGCGGCCGCGCGGGCGGGAGGCGGACGAGGCAGGCAGCCGGTCATCTGCACCCAAGAGCTCACCAGCTAGGACGGGGCAAAACCCGAGAGTCGCGGAAGGAAAACTGGGCCGCTTGAGCGCGCCTGTGCACGATTCCGTCCACAACGCTCCGCGCTCCCAGGGTGGCTGTTGAGGGGAAGAGCGGTCTGAGAATGACCAAGTTACCTTCAAATGCAGGTCGAGGTAATGCTCAGTAATTTCCGGAGGGCCGATGAGGGAGCAATCCAGCAGCGTAAAGTTGTCAATCTTGGTTAAAACTGAATGGCCAAAAAAGAAAAAAAAAAATGATTACTCAATAAAGCTTGGCATAAGATGAATAAAGGCCCAAACACTATTTTTAGTTCTCGGTTTAAAATCTCCCCTTTCACAAGTAGTACACGCTTACTTTTGAAAATTCAAGAAAAATAGGTAAGTCTAAAAAGAAAAATAAAAACCCTCCTTGATCGCATTACCCTAACAGAAGCTCCAGCACAATTTGGGGCCTGTCTTCGGACACGTGACCACTCACACGCATGTCTACACATGACACATACATGGTTGGATTTTTTATTTTTGAGACATCATTGTTATTTGGTCTCGCTCAGACTCATGGTGATCCTCCTGTCTCAGCCTCCCCAGCGCTGGCATCATAGGCGGGCTCCACCATGCCCGGTTTCAGTGGCTGGCACACTGTGCCCAGGGTTCTGGGGCCAGTATGGCATGAGGTGCTGGGGACCAAACCTAGTCCTTGCACTTGCCAGGCAGGTGCTTAGACCATCAAGCTACCTCCCCAGCCCTTCAGACATGCTCTTGCGATGAGTTCAGGGTGGCCTTGAACTCACGGCATCATCCAGGTCCTACCTCAGCCTTCTGAGTGCTGGGCTTACAGGCATGAGCCACCACACCCGGCTGTGTATAGTTCCATTTTAAAAAGAAACTAGCACAAAACCCCGTACAGTGTTCAAGCTTAGTGCTATAAGATTTCGATGTAGTCAGAATTTTTTTTTTTATAATGAGTATGTACTACTCTTGCAATTATAAGTATGTTTTTTAAAGAGGCATGCGAGAGAGAGAATAAGAACCACTAAGTCGGAGAGGCCAGGCAGATTCTCACGCATAATACTACATTCTTAGATTGGCATTTTCAGGCTGCAACAGAAGGCCCGGGGTGCAGGGCGGGAAGGGCAGGGTCCTGCGGCAGGAGCGAGCTGCCGGGGCAGTCGCAGCCCGGCTTCCTGCCTGGGCCTCAGCAGGCCACAGCCCGGCCAACCACGTGAGCTGCTGTGCCTCCTTCGCACACCTTCTCTTCCTGTGCTGCACGCTTGGTTTATTCCAGAAGGAGACGGGGAGCAGAAGGCAGTGGTGGCTGCTGAGGGAGGGAGTCGTTGGAGCCTTGCAAATGCACCCCAGTGCTGATCTGCATGGGCCCCACTGCCGCCCCTCACGGCCAGGAGGCTGCCTAAGCTGGGGAAGCCTGGCCTGTGCATCCCTGGCTGATTCTCTCCCTTCCTGCCTTGCCCGCCCCACCCCCACTCGCATCCTCTGGGCCTGCCCCGGCAGCGTCCTTGCACCTGACGTGGCTGCACCCTGTGCCTCGCGCTGGGGACAGAGCCCTTCTCCCAAGGCGCTTGCAGCCTGAGGCAGAGAACCCACGGTGCTGTGGAGCAGGTCTAGCGGGAGCTGCTCCCCTCAGCCCTCCCTGGCTGGGTAAAGACGCCTTGCATTCTCCTGGGCCCCAGCTGCTCAGGGTGGAAACCAGAAGTCACCCTGACCGCTCTCACTCAGGAGCAATGCCGCCGACACCGTCCCTGCAGTTCTGGAAGCCGATCCTGTCCCAGGCCTGTCGCCTGGCTCTGGCCAGCTGCTGTCGGGTACCACCTGGTCTTCCATGCCTGGCCCTCCTCTTCCTCCTGCTGTCAGCCCAGAGGCCACAGCATCTCCCGGCAGCTACATCAGGCACAACAGGCTCCCTCCGGTCTCCCTCCGGTCTCTCTAGGCGTCTATCTTGGGCCTCAAGGCAGATTTGCAGGCTTCTCAGAGTCTGAGGCCTCACTGTCCTCTCCCCGTCTGGGCCTCCACTGCGCACCACTTTCCCCATACCCACCCCCCTGCGCCTGGTGTCAGTTGGTGCCTCCAGCGCCGGTCACGAGGCTGTCGCTGGTCTTTGTGTATGAGTGCTCCACCTGGGTATCCTTCCCGTGTGCTGTGGCATGCGTGCCCCAGTCTCATGCTGCAATTGTGTGGCCAGCCCCGGGGTGCCAGCAGGTTGGGCCTCTCAGAGATGCTTAGCCCGAGGCATGCTGACCCCAGGGATGGAGGGACACGTTGCCCGGGTGCAGGCTTGCTGCAGATCCAGCCAGAGCAATGTTCTCTCTGTCCCCCACATATGTCCCTGCCCACTGATCAGGCCACGACTCAGCACGGTGCCCTGAGCCAATGCTGGCTCCCAGCCCTGGATTTCCTGAACCGTGAGATAAATAAAGTTCCTCCATTGATAAAGTCCTTGGCTTGTGTCATGGCAGTGGAAGAGGCTCAATCCAGATCCGAGAGCAACCTCATCCTACCCCACCGGGCTCTTTCTGTAGTGTCATCTGCTTGGGAGGGGCCCTCCTGGCCGCGTGCTCTGAACAGAAACCCCAGCCCCTCCCTGCTTTCTCCGTTCTCTGACTACCTCCATGCCAAGCGTCAGTTTGCGGGCCCATTTGGCCTCCGATCTGCTTCTCCCTCATTCCGGGAGGTGGAGGTTTCTGCCTCCCAGGGGCTCAGCCAGAGCTGGGGTTAGTCCTAAAGCTGGGGCTCTTAGCATCACAGCTGGTGGCCAGCAGTGTCCGGCAGTGGCCAGGAGTGGCCAGCAGTGGCCAGCGGTGTCTAGCAGATCCCAGGTGATCAGGATGGTGGTGAACGAGTGGGTGGAGTGCAGACGGAGCGGTCAGTGCACACAGGAAGTATCACTGAGGGATGCGGCTGTTGGAAGACTCAGACTAGAGTGAGGCAGCCAGGGAAGGCTGAGGGAGCGGAGGGGGAGGGACTGTGGTGTGTGGGGACCAGCAGCATTCAGGATGGACACAGGTGCTGTGCGGATCAGTAGATGCAGGGCCCGGGGCTTCTCCAGCAGAGCGGGACTTCGAGCAGAGCAGGGTTGGTGGCCACAGAGAGAATGCTGCAAGTGGCACGGGGATGGGAGCAAAGCCAGCCCGTGACTACTCCTGGGCCCCAGTTGAGGTGGTGGACTTGATGCCTCTTTCCCTGAACCTGCAAGTCCCCACGCCATTTCCTTGTGGCTGTCGCCATCTTTCCTCAGCACTTTCACTTTAGACTGTACTTCCATTCAGCCACTCTCGGCTCTGGACTTGATGCTGAAGGTGGCGACTGAAGGGGAGCACAGGGGGCAATCTCACTGAGGCTGGGGTCAACTGTCCTGGGGGAGCTGGGCTTAGTGACAAAGCTGGGGCTCATGCCAGTGATCATTGGCTCCTGGGTTGTACCTGAGTCTCCTCCTGGGGACATCACTAAGTAGCAGGAGAGCATATGTCCCATGCTCAGCAGTGTCCTACACGAATCTGGGGACATTAGGGCAGGGTGTCTGGGTGTGACACTGCACAGCTGTCATCCCAGGACTCAGGAGCTTGAATCAGGAGGATCATTCTGAGCTCAAGGCCAGCCTGGGCTTCATGGTGAGACATTGTCTCAAAAAAAACCAAAACCAAAACAAAAAAAAAAAAAACACCAAAAAATCCAAAACCAAATATTCAGAGTGGGAGCAGAGGGGGAAGAGCGGGTGGTCTGTGCCTTAAAAGCAGAGCTGGGGGACCAGGACTTGAAGGTGGGGTGGGCGCTGCCCAGGGCCCCCGTCCTGAGACTCACCATCCAGGGAGCTGAGGTTGACGTTCAGGGCTTCCACCTGGTCCGTGATGATGGGACAGAGCTGTGGCAAAGGACAGAAACAAGTGTGTTGTCGGCGGGGGTGGAGTGTGGGGAGCTCACCACCACTCTCCCTGCAGTTAGAGCAGCAGCGCCGCAGCAAGCGGGCCACACCCGTGAACCAGCAGCAGCAGGCCTGCGGTCCTCCTCTCGGTGCCGTGTTAGAGCGTGTGCTGCTGCCATACCCAAGGAAACTTGTCCTCCCTGAACACTGGCCCAGCCCCACCCCTGTCACCACTCTGTGCCCAGCCGGTGGTTGCAGCCAGACTGTCATTTAGCCTGGGCTGGCTGAAGTGTCTGGAGAGAGAGTCAGTTAGAAGCCTCCCTCCTTGTCCTCCCTCTCTGAGTGGGACTAAGGTGCACCTCGGGGAGGGCCCCGTCCCTGCGCTACGTGCTGCTGCATGCCGGGCAGGGCTGGCCCTGCGGACATGGCCTGAGCCCGTTTCCTTGATTTCCATTGCTCTGAACCCCTTCAGTGAATCTAGCCGTTGTGCAATTATGCGCCAATTCAAGTGCTCTTTCTTGCTTGCTAAGCCCAGGTCTGATTTTTCTAGACAGACAAATTTATTCTTCTCCTGCAGCCCTGACAGACCCTGGTCCAACGCGGGGCACTGAGAGGTGCAGAACGAACACTTTCTCATTGCCTGCCTGCCCGCCCCGTGGCAGGCAGCTGAGGGCAGAAGGGGCTCTGCTCCTCTCTGCGGCCCCAGCATGCAGCATCACTAAGTGTCACAGCCCTCATGTGCCAGTGCCCTGGACGGAGCCTTGTGGGCAGCAGGTTCTCCATAAAGACACATTTAAGGGTCAGTGGAGGACAGCGGGCCGCCACTGCTGCCCTCGGCCTGGTCCAGCCCCAAAGACTTACCATCGTGTTTAAGTTCTTTAAAATGGGCTTCTCCATGGGCTCAGCGAAGGTGTTGTACAGGGCACTGGGGAAGAAGGAGAGCATCTCCTGAGGGGTGTGACACGTGAGGCCCCCACAGGCGCATCTGCCACGCTGCCCCGCTCACCTCAGTTCCCCCTCGAAGGAGACGTGGGCGTGGCTCACTTGGGCGGAGCAGTCCCGGAGCTGCAGAGCCGGCTGGCCAAAGGTGTTTTGGGTCGGAATGAGGACACCAGTGAAGTAGACTCCTGAGAGGAAGAGGTCGGCTCCACCCACATCGTGGCTGTGAGAGAGAGTGTGATGAGGCCCGGCCTGGGCCAGGCAGGAGAGAGGCTGCCCCTTACAGGAGCGTGGGGCCCGGCGACCTCTTCTGAGCTCTCCAGGCTGGACTTCTAGAAGTGGGGGATGGGATGCAGCAGGCACCACGGGCTGTGCAGTGACCTCCCGAGTATGTTACTCGGGCACCCCCTGGCAGGCCCACATGCTGCACCCACCGCAGGCACGGGCTTTAGTCAGAGCCGGTCCTCTCTCTCAGGACATCTTCCATGACATTTGATCAATGAGTCACTCAGCTTTTAGGGGAAGGCTAGAACTCCCCACTCCCTCCCGGCAGAGATTTCCTGATTTAAATCATATATGGAAAAGAAAAATACTCCCAAGAGCACTGCTATTGCTGAAAGAAGCCCAACAACTGTGTGTGTGTGCACACGCACTTTTGCACACGCACACCTGCCATCGTAGCCCTCAGCAGGCTGAGACGGGAGGGTTGCTGTGAGCTCAAGGGCAGCCTTTAATACATGAGAGCCTGTCTCAAAAATCAAGAACAGCGGGGGCCGGGGAGATGGCTCAGTGGAATAAGCGCTTCCCTGGCAAGCGCAGGGGCCTGAGTTCAATCCCAGGTTCCGCAAAAAAAAAAAAAAAAAAAAATCAAGAACAGCAGGCAGCTGGACACCGCTCCTCGTGGCGGCCACCCTAAGACCCCCCACACCAGCTGTCGCTGCCCCCATGGCCTGGATAGCAACGACGCGTGGCTACTCACAACAGTGGAGCCCTGACCTCCCAGTCCAAGCTGACATTGGTGGTGCCGTGGTTGGTCAGTACTCGGATGCCCACCCCGGGCACGAACGCCAGTGAAGCATTTGGCGATGAGAAGGCATTGATTTTTATGCTGTAAGACAAGGAACGGGCGAGTGAGGTCAGTTCTTTCACACAGGTCCACGTCAGGCAGGATTGGGAAGGCAGCCAGGGACTCCCAGGGCAGCTGTGGATTTGGGTTCCTGATTCCCCTTCTGCTCACCAGAAAGCCCTGCTACTGAGCTGAGGGAAGAAGTGAGCATGTTTGGAAGGAAATTTGCAAATAACCAAGCAACCTACTTCTTTAGACCATGGCAAGCACAGCAACAGTGCTGCTTGTCCCTTTAGTGGCTCCAGGGGTGGTACTCAGATTTTGGCTGGACGGTGCTCATGGCTGGGGATGTCGCACACCTTGCAGGACATTCGGCACAAGTGTCACCGATGTCCCGCTCCGCCAGGCACAGGGACAACCCGATAGCACCTTCCATGGTTTCTAAGTGGCCTCAGTGAGGTCAGGACTCCCTAGGTGGGAGGCTGCCTGAGAGGCTGGCTTCCCAAGGGACCCTGAGCTGGTGACAGTGACCTTCGGTCTCTGGCAGGTGGACGGCCACACTCCTGGCGACCAGTTCTTTCCGACCTCTAGGGCACCAGTTCTCCCTTCTGGTGCCCTAGGAGGCACTTGTGCTCTGTAATCTCCAGCTGGGAGAGGAGAGCGTAGCAGCAGCTTAGGTCTCACAGGCCACTGGACCCAGACCCGCAGCTCCCTGGCTTGACTTCGGGCCGCTCTGACCACCAGGCTGCACCGCCTCCTGCACCCTCCCAACCATGCTTTGTGCGGGTCGTGCTAGCTCAGCTGCGACTCTCGTCCTCTTCCAGGCAGCGCTCAGAGGCCCAGCTCAAAGCCGAGTTAGGAAGGAGAAGGAGCTCATCTGGGTGCGACCACAGCAGGGAGAGCAGCGTCCCTGGCAAGCGCAAGGGCCCGAGTTCAATCCCCAGTTCCAAAGGAAAAAAAAAAAAAAAGAAATTTTAATTCTCACTTTGTAGCCCAAGCTGGCTCTAAACTCAGGGCGCTCCTCCTGCCTCAGTCCTCAAGTGCTGGGCTTATAGGCATTTGCCACCATGCCCAGCCTATTCTTTTTATTTTTATTGGCACGTAACAGTTGCTCAGACCTACGGAGTGCAGCACGGTGTTTTTCCACATGTGCATGCTGTGCGACCAGGCAGCGTGACTGGCATACCTAGGCCCCTGGAGGCCACCATTTCCTTATGCTGGGAACATCTCCTATCCTCTCTGCGAGCTATTTTGAAATATTCAGGAGGGCTTATCAGCAGGCTTTCCTCCTGCACCGCAGAACGCTGAGAGCTTATGCCTCCTGCTCCCGTCCTGCTCCACTTCCGCTGCCCAGGCTCCAGCTCTGGTGACCTCTGTTCTCTTTGCTGCCTCTACGAAGTGAACTTCGTGTGTTACATTTTTTTCGTTTGCTCCCCTGCTGATGGACACCGAGGTTGCTTCCACACCTTGGTCCTGTCAGTGGCGCTGCGCTGAACACGCAGATGAATGCAGCCGTCCTTCACCACCCTGGCTTCACTTCCTGCGGGTGTCACGGGGTGGGCACGGCAGCTCCACTCCAGCGTTCCGAGGCGCCCACACCCCTTCCATAATGGCTATCCTAACTCTCACTCCATGACGGCGATAGCACAGGGTAGGAAAGGTCCTCTTTCTCACACAGATCGAAACAACATTGAGATTCACTTATTCCAGAAAGAATGGTGGCAAACTCTTATAATCCCAGGACTTGGGAGGCTGAGGCAGGAGGCCTTGAGTCCGTGGCCAGCCTGGGCTACCTAGATTCTTCCGATCCCCTCAAAAAGAGGTGAAAACGCCTGAAGTATCATACGTGTATTAACTCCACAAGAGGGATGTGATCATCATGTGTCACAAACATGTGCCGACCAACACGGCCTCCAGCTCCTAGCATTTGTTAGGTGGCCTCTGGAGAAAGCAGCTTGGTGCCAGAACAACCAAAAGCGTCACTCTTTCTCTGCCTCTGCGCTCGCAGATGCCTTTCGGCCCTTGGATCCTTGCCATTCTGGCTGAGGTGTGGTGATTCCTCTCTGTAGCTTTGGTCTGCATTTTCCTGATGAGGAAGAACGTTGGGCATTTTCCCCTGTCCTTGTTGGCCCTTCAGATATCTTCGTTTGAGAACTGTCTGTTTGGGTCACTTTTCCATTCTAGGATTCGACTTTTGTTTGTCTGTTTGCTATTGAATCGTGCGGGCCGTTGCTATTCTGGGGCTGCCTCTTATCATGGGAGGAGCTTGCAGCTACCCGCCCCCAGTCGCTGTCTTCCGGGTGGGTCGCACCCCTCCCGCGGCAAGAGTCTCGGGGAAGGAAGGACACCGGCCAACCTCTGTGAGTGTCTGCACGCTCAGGCTGTGCTTCGGGCTGGACCCGAAGGGCTTTGCCCTGACTAACGTCCAGGCAGTGTGCCTAGGCTTCTAGCAATCTCATGGCTTTGGTCTACTTTGAGCACAATAATTATGGTTAATAAAAAGTTAAATGAACTCAAAGTAGCCAATAGGGAAGATTTTGGATGTTCCCAACACAACGAAATGATAAAATATCTGAGTGGCAGATACAGGAATGACCTTGATCTGATCAGTGCAAATTGTGCATAGGTTTTGAAGTGACACATACACAGGCACAATTACTATCTATTAATCAAAAATAAAATATGTTCTTATTCTAATCTACCCAACACATTAGCATCTCAGTATGTAACCAACATACAAATTACTGAGACGTTTTACTTCCTTTTCCCAAAATAAAGGGCTAAAATCTGGTGCGTATGTATTGTGAACTCAGGGCTCACCTCAATTCAGACACAGGATTTCATCTGAAATATTTAACCTGTATTTAGATTTGATAAAAGTTTTGCTTGGAAGAGTAAACTTATATGTCAGCTTGTCCTAAACACACTTAAAAGTTCTTCAGTAATGCAATCAAATGTCCATTTTTGAATTAAAATTAATTACAAAAGAAATGAAATTATTTACAGTTAAATAAAGCACAGCTCCTCTGCTGCGCAAGTGGCAAGTCACACAGGAGCAGTGCCCGCTGTCTGGGGGTGCAGGTATGCAACCACGGCCGGAGGCGTCCATGTGTGAGCCTGCTCTCCCCTCCCTCACCAGCGCTTTGCAGCGCACAATTCTCGCTAGAGCTTTCTGCTATGGCGCGGTCGTGTCATCTACATAGCAAGTTGTGGAAATGTACTGTCAGTGTCCACCTGCCCGCTGGACACCAGGGCAGGGCGCAGGCCAGCGCCGCTCGCTGTGTCCACCTGCCCGCTGGACACCAGGGCGGGGCGCAGGCCAGCGCCGCTCGCTGTGTCCACCTGCCCGCTGGACACCAGGGCGGGGCGCAGGCCAGCGCCGCTCTCTGTGTCCTCCCCACGTCCTGAGAAGAGCCTGGTGCAGTGCAGGTGCTCAGTGGGCACCTGGGGAATGGCTGACTCAGTACGGAGCCCAGAAACTTTCCCTGGGTTGCCATCTCTGCTTTTCCACAAAGAAACCTCTTGAGTTGAGAAAGTTATTCACATCGGAGAAGCTGCTGCCCCAAAGTGTTGGGGTTGCAGAGGGTTTTCACTGGGTTGAAAAGTTTGGGGTAAATCATGACTTGTGGTCACAGAGAGCTCCTATAAAAGCTCGGGTCTCCCCCACCTTAAGATGGAACTCAAGACCCCAGAGAATACTCTTGCACTGTCCTCCTTTAGAACACATGAACAGCTGGGGAAACACTGCCGGTTGCTGTCCAAACTCCCAATCTCCCTTTCTGTGAAGGCAAATATCTCTGAATTTTGGGGGATGACAAAGTTATCTGATTGAAAATCTGATTTCTCAATATCCCTTGATAATAAATCTGTCCTTTGTTTATGGCAGAGTCTTATCAGAGAAGCATGTTAGGGAAAAGCTTGTTAAAAGAGGGAGACGCACTCAGCTCCGAAGAGCCCTTTCACCCTCACACTTTCTCCTCCCGGCTGCACAAAACATGGATTTGATGGCTGTAGCTGCAGCAGCCATGTGGGGCTGTGAGGCAGACATGGGAATAGATGTCCTTGTCCCCTGGGCCCTGCTATCTGGAGGACAGAGGGATCTTTTACTTACTTTGAAAAATTGTAGTTCACGTAATCAATCTTCAGAAATTCAAGAGTCTCAGAGCCTTTTAAATCTGGGATGTGTTTTTCTTTTAGTATTTGCTCTATCATCTCCATCCCAGCTTGAACACCTGAGAGGGAAGCAGGCAGAGGCTTGGAGTAAGGACGAAGGCAGCGACGCTGCAGTATCACCGGCCACACAAGGGCAGCGCCTTGAGCACGGTACTCTTTCAGAGCAGAGCGCAGCTGCGGCCCAGTGGGTGCTCCTTCCCCACAGCACTCAGAGACACAAGTCCTCACAGGGCCAGCATCCCCAGAGCTTCCGTGGTGTGGCCAGGGCTGGTGACCACGTGCGGGGGAGCTGTAGATACCCCGCACATTCAAGCCATGCGGCTGCTGAGGGTGCGGGCAGCTCTCTCCAATCTGCGCGATCTGGCTCTGGAATCTGCAGCCCTGCCTAGTCCCAGAAAGGAATTCCACCTTCTTCTTTCTGTCCATGCCTGGGGCCCGCAGCCCACAGTGTCCCAGGGGCCTCTCGGCCCCTCTGTGTTCACCGCATGCTCATACCATTTACACTGAAATCTCACCCTGCTGCAAAGTGTTCCGAGCCCACTGCAAATCCAGCCCTTCTGAAGCTCTAAGTGAGTGGAAATTGCCCCAAAGTTCCCACCTGACACCCTCCAGAGCGCCCTGAGCTGCAGCTCTGCCAAGTCTCCTCTCCATGTGTGGGGGAGACAGCTGGGCCTCGGGACACTGTTGGGATACGCCTCCTATCGGCCACTGTTTCAGGCGACACCCTCTCCCTGGCAGCCTTGGAAGCCCTGCATTCCTGTCCCAGCCCCCAGGCAGTGCGAGTCCTGTGCTCGGCCTCCCGAGTGTCCACTCACCGAAGTCCAGTGCCCGCTGAGTGACCCTTGCCTTGATCCCGGCGTAGGCAGCCTGGGCAGGTGCGCCCCAGAGACTCCACACGAGCAGGCATCCCCAGAGGACTGGGCGCATCTCGGCTCGCACCTACGGGGAGCAGCACATGGCCCTGTTGTCCTCCACTTCCCCTCGGCAGGCCGCACGCAGCCTTCGCAGGCCTTACCCTCCCTGGGTGCCCCAGACCTCCTGCTCCTATCCTGTGGCCTCTTCTGTGGGCACAGCTGGGCTCCACCTGGTGAACTGAATCAAACAAGGAGGACAGAGATGTGGACACATGTGAGCCCCAACCTCAGTTTCTCCCAGCTGAAGGGGGACCACACAGGTGTGTGAAAACACACACGCGAACACACAGATACACACATTTGTGCACATACACACGCACACTTAGAACACATTGCAGTCTGGCTCAGCAGCCTTGCAGGGAATTGAGGGACAGGGCTTTGTCCTGGGAAGGACATGAAGGGGGTTGGAGGGGTGTTGACAGGTTTGAGCCGATAACCCAGTAGCTCAGGAAGATGGTGAAGCTGGATAACGCCCTCTGTCTGTGGGCTGCAGTGGAAGGCTCAGCTGCGTCAGAGCGTCTGCTCTTGCCCCCCCATTTCTGGGTCGCTGTCTACACTGGCCACACAGGCTCTCAGCCAGTCCTTGCCTGTGTGGGGCTGGTGTTCAGCTCCCCAGAGTGAAGTCCCAGGCCCACCACTGGCCTGCCCCATCACACACTGTAATCTGCATGGTGACCACGTTCTCCAGGCCTCCCAGGATGTCCTCTGTGAGCATCCTTCACGACGCCACACCCTGTCACACTCTGCTCTGTGCTCTGCCGCTTCTGTGCCGTAGGGGCACACCCAGCTGAGCATGTGACCGGTGAGCTCTCACCGCCTCGCCACAGCCGGGGCTAGCCCATCGTCTCAGCGCCAGGGTGTTACCACGGCCCCCTCCTTGGCCTGCTCTGCCCTAGTGCCCTACTGGCTGTTCTCCACCCATAGCCAGCATGCCCTCTGAAGATGCCGGGGTCACACTGGGATCCTTTGTGCAACGGGGGCACTCCAGGTAAACTCCAGAGCCCTGCCTTGCTTGCTGCACGCATGCGCACTGCGTGAGTCTCGCCCGCCTACCTTGGCAACACCCACCGCGGCTCACGGCTCTCTTGCACAGCCTTGCTGCCCCTCAAAGTACCTCCCAGGCCACATGCCCAGCCCTCTTGCTGCCTCAGGGACCTGCCAGCCTCTCCACGCACAGGACCCTTCCAGTCTCCTTTGCTCTCTTTCTCTCTGGAGCATTCACTCTACCTAGTGGCTTAGGATTAGGGGTACCACCTGTCCAGGCATAGGTCAGCTCCAGATCATTGCTCCTGGCCTCCTCTGAGTGGCTCTGGTCTGATCAAGCAGAATGCCCAGTCCCCAACCACATGCCGTGTGTCCCACCACTGTCCGCTCTCCCAGGACCTGCAGAGCCCTGTGCCCTCTGAAGGCCCATGTGGGGCACCAGATGCTTGCTGGCCTCCCCAAGCTCCTCTCATCTCTTGCTGACCTTGGGCCGGAATAAACGCTCGTGCCCACGCACTGTTTATTGTCTTGCTCACTGTCCACCGCCCCTGCCAGAATGCCAGTGCAGGAGGGCAGTGACCTCACCTGCAGGGCGGGCTCCGTGGGTACTGTGGGCGACCAGCATGGGTGGTGGGATGAGTCAGTGAGCCAGGGAGGAAGAAGCAGCCCTGCCCAGGTCGTCCCGGTGCCGGGCTCCCCACAGAGGTGACGCGTAGGGTGCGTGCCCACTCCTGGAGCACAGGCCCCCCCAGATGGCTGTCAGCGACGGTCCTGAGCAACATGCAGAAGGCTAGGCTTGCAGCTGGCTGGGGAGAGGGCGTCCTGAGAGCCTGGGGAGCAGGCTAGGACAGGACTGCGGGAGGGACAGAGCCCAGGGCTGCCTCCAGGCTGGTGCAGCAGGACCCCGCCCATAAGAAATACAGGGTGCTGCGGACTGGGGCTCATGCTGTGTCCCTGGAGGGAAGGGACTGCATGGAAGGCATCCCACTGGGGCAGCTCCAGGGGACTTCTGTTGGAGGGCAGGACATTGTCACAGCACTGGACAGCGAGGAAAAGAACGGCACCCTGGACTCCGTGCCCACCAGAGCAAGAACTAAGGAGAAGTACAACTTCACCAACTCCAGCACAAGACTCTGGGTAGCTAAGAAGTTTCCAGAAAAGGATGGGGGTTGAGAGAGAAAATCACCCATGGAGTGTGTGTGTGTGTGTGTGTGTGTGTGTGTGTGTGTATGTGAGGTCCCCCAACTTCCACAGATAAAAAGCACAATGAACCAAAGTGAAGATGTTACTCACTAATGTGATGACAACCCAAAGAATAAATTTGCATTTCTTTACCACTTACAGCACTCGCCAGGGTGGTGCCATTAATTCCCAAGAGACATGCAAAGCCTGCACGACTGTCCAGGTCTCCCAGGCACCTGGGACTCAGACTGTGTGCATACGTAAATCATTGATTGGCTATATATGTGTGAGCTTCCAAATTTTCATCTGGGAATTTTAAATAGGAAATTCTAAATTTCCAGATGATTGATGTCACCTTTAACATGGAAAAAAGTTCAATATGTACATCTGGAAATTTTCAACCATCACAGTACACCCCTCGTTTTGTTTTCTCAAGCACAGATGTGGTTCAAACTCCTTCCCAGCAGGAAAGTATGTTTCCCGGGTTGCCTCAACAGTTGTTTTTGAAGCAGTACAAGTTAGTGAAGGTCTGGGAACCCAAAGCTGTAGACAGAGAACTGTGACTTTCCCTGAGAAATTTTATGAGTGGATGCAATTCCCGGGGTAGAAGGGTGGGTTGTTGGGACTGTAGCTGGGTTGTTTGGTTAGAAAGGTGATTTACGGACCGGGGTGGGAAGGAACCTTGTCCGGTAGGGCAGGGACTCCTGGAAGGCTCAACAATTGCTGGCAAGTAAAGACAGGGTGAGCTGCCTGGAGGCTTTTAAAGTCTTCCTAGCAAGCTGCCTGTTCTGCTGCTTCTGAAGAACTGTCTCTTTCCAGGAGTCCAAGCCTTTGTACTTACTCTGTTCTCTGCCAACACACATCCAGAGAGACCCTCCTACATCCGACACTCCCTGCCCAAGCCAGCCCAGCAATGGGGAGTAAGAAACACCGGTACAGTTTGGAAAACTCCTGAGTCTCTCGGCCCCGCTCAGCTCTGCTGCTCGCCCGTGAGAGCTCTGATAGATCTGGGAGGCCGATTAAGGGAGGGGCTCGCGCGTCAGATGTCCCCTTTGAACAGAGCGTGTTGTTGAAGAGTTCGCACTCTCAGGCTTAGAGGAGTCTGTGCTGGCAGCCATTCCAACAGGCTGGGCTTGTGACACGACTGAATGGAAGGCGTGGGATGTGGCAGCTCCGGCGTGTCAGGGATTCAGCCTTCCTTCTGACTTGGTAGCAAGGTCTCCCATGGTGAAGGGCCATGGGAATTCCTGCCAGCTCTTTCCTCCCAAAGCACCATGATTCGCACCGACAAGATCAGCGACAGACAGAGAGACAGCAGGAGGGCAGTTCTGCTCTGGCAGGATCTAGGTCACTGATACGGTCTAGGCCCCAGCTCCAGAGGGGCTGCGTGGTACCACCCACGCCAGCTGAGGGGCAACACAGCACTCACAGCGATGCCAGCCCAGACACTCACACGCCTGAGACCCAGGTGGGCACGGTGACACAGATAAACAGGCAAACCCCATGGAAACCTAGGCAACACTAGGAATGACTCACACCTGGGGCGGCTGGCTCCGAAAGGCGTCCTACCAGATCCAGATGACCTGCGGCGAGTCAGCACCTCGTGGGCTAGGACCGTGGGGGCTCTCACCTCAGGCCCAGGAGCGGCCGTGGCTGGGGAGCACCGTCCTTCCCTCTGCCGTGTGAGCCCAGTGTGTTCTCCACCTGGCCTGGATCGCCAGTGTAATTAAGACTGAATCATGGCTCTGGAGACTTCTTTTTAAATACCTCTTTCAAAATGCAACACAGAATTGCTTCACCACCATTACCCAATGGCTTGAATGAACACTACAGATACTGCCCAGCTGGGTGGACCACGACACCCAAGCGATGGGTTCCTCCCTGGAGGTGCACTCACAGCACATGCAGACAGACAGACAGACAAACAGACAGACAGACAGACAGACACACACACACACACACACACACAGAGGCACACAGACACACACTACCTTTTTGAAATTGTTTCCCTACTTTACCAAAAATGACTAAGTTAAGACTTTCAGCATTTGAAAAAATATGTCAGAAAAGGTGCCTTTGGACGCACCCTCAGTGGCCCTCAGAGCAGGGCTGAAAGCCCGAGAGGACGAGCCAGGTGGCTGAACTATCACCCCATCCTATGGTGCAGGGTGTGAGCTCGAGGCCTGCTCCTGCTCAGAGTGCTACCAGTGCCTTCCTGTCCTGCAGCCTTTTGACATGATGGGGACAGAGTCATAGCCATACAACTTAAGTTCTCCAGATTTTAAGCCCATTCCCACGCCAATCCCAGGTCTCTGCCAATACCTGTTGGGTGGGTTGAGATCTGATCACGTGATGGGTCTCGGGCCTTCTGTCTTTGGGCTGTTGCTGGGGAGGGATCCCGGGCCCTTCTCACTGAGCTCCATCCCCAGCCCACTTATTTTGAGACAGGGTCTCACCAAGTCTCTAAATTTCCCAGGCTGGGCTGGAACTTGTCCCACTCCTGCCTCGGCCTCCCAGAGTGCCAGTGTCTTACGTCGCATCTAAAGGTCTCTGGGTGAGATGGTGTGACGAGCCTTCCTGGTTTGCCAGGATGTGGGAGTTGTAACCCTAAAGCCAGGCCGTTTCGAGGCAGTTTGCTCCCCAGTGAGGCCCAGGCATGGCCCCTTGGTGCTGTCCATCCGCAGGCGCTCTCCTGCTCTGATGCCTACACATGCAAGCCAGCTTCTCACGAGCAAAGTGGGGATGAAGCGTGCCTGGCTGTGTGGGCTGTGGCAAACGAGCGCCTGGATTACACGAGATGTGGAGACAACAAGGCGGTGTATGGCTTTGTCAGCAAATGTGTGGCCCTGTCTATGGTGGTGAGAGCCTGCAGCAGTGTCCATGTGGACACTGCCACTGACTATAGGCCAGTCCTCCACTCAATCAACAAACACTTACTGGGGAGTACTATGTGCAAAGTCCTCTTTAGCAAAAAAAGGGGTTTGGAGTTTGGCAGCGGACACAAAAAGAACAAGCAGACAACAAAGATGCTTATGGTGCGGGTACCACATGCTGTGCTGGCCCTGTCCCTGGGTGTACTGAGCCAGCCACCAAGACTGGGCATGGTGGTGCACGCCTGGAATCCCAGCGCTGGGGAGGCTGAAAACAGGAGGATCACTATGAGTCTGAGCTGCGTAGTTAGACTCTGTACCAAATATATTACAGGGAAAAAAAAAAGATGGTTATAATGTGAAATGTACTCTGCTGAAGGATGCGTGCTGCTGTCCCCAAAGCCCACTACATGGGTTTGGTCCCCAGGGTGGCACTGTGGAGGGTGGAGGTGTCTCTGACAGGCAGTCACTGAGATTGTGCCTCCTAAAGGGACAGTGGGGCCAGCCCCTTCCTTTTTCTCTCTTTTGCTTCCTGGCCATCAGGTGAATACTTTTCCCCTCCCACATGCTCTGGTCTCGACATGTGGCCTCATCCCCAGTCCACAGTGATGGGGCTGAGCTACATGGGCTAATGTAAACCTTTCTTTTGAAGTTAGTTCTCTGTGGTGTTTGGTTGCAGCGACAGAGAGCTGCTGAGCACAGACTAAGGAGACAAGAAGAATCTGGCTGCTACGTGGCCTTGGCCTTGGCAGGGTGACATGGGGGAGGGGCGGCATCCTTTGTGGGGGTGGAGGAGGAGAGAGCAGTGAGCTGGCCTCGGCCATCAGAAACCAGGTGGGCACTGGCGGGCGAGAGGGGGGCTGTGCGGAGCGAGGTGGGTGCGAGAGTGCCCCACACAGCGAGGTGCGGCTGCCAGGGCAGCTGGAGCGAGGCTGTCGCGGTCTTGTACTCATAGAGATCACCCGGGGCGGGTTCCTGTGGCCCATGAGGTCCTGGAGTGTGGGGGACGGTTTCCAGTGTGACGCGGGTGAGCACATGACATCAAACTGTGTGTTGGGAAAAAAGCAGCAGGCAGGGAAGGCAAATGACATCGGACACCAGGTGGGGAAAGTTCACGCAGCGATGCTAGATATTTCTGCCTTCTCCTCAGCAACTCCCTGGGCTGGCAGCATCTGTTTCTTCTTTTCCTCATTCCCTCTTTCTTCCTGTTTGAGACAAAGAGTTGCCGTCTCCAGACTGAAGACATGCCCTGTGTCCATCAGATGGGGCCAGGATCCGTGGCAGGTACTGCCCGTGGCACACAGTCCTCCACATGGGAGCTGAGTGTGCCGCATCCGACAGCACCTCCTTCCTCAGGTCCGACCTCGTCCTCTAAAGCATCTCTGGTCTGCACAGACACGAATGTGCTCTGTGAGGAGCTGCTCATCTTGGTTACTTGTCTCTCATTGCTGAGACAAAATACCTGGCACAAAATACCCAACACCGAAAATGAAGGCAGAAAAGGTTTGTTTAGCTCACAGTTAGTGGAGGTTTCGGTCCGCACTCGGTTGGCTCCAAGGCAGAGCGGCACATGCAGAGGGCGGCAGTTTATGGTGGCAAAAAACAGCAAAGGGAGGAGCAGCGGCTGCAGCAGCAGCCGGCCTCTCTCTTTCACTGTATTCAGGCTCTCCATCCAGGGCAGGCGCAGCACTCACACCCATGATCCCAGCATTTGATCATGGACCAATCACGAGTTCTTGAGGCCATCCCATGATCGCAGGAGCTTTGGGGAGCCTAGACCCAAGCCATAGCACTGCTCTGCTGTGCCATTTAAGGAATAAGCACAGGGGCAGTTGGTGCATGCACAGCATACATGTCTCTTCCCTGTACACTTCTGGTTTGCCATTGGTTGGGTCAGTGGATTGCAGGGCCATGCTGTGTATTTCCTACTGTTATCCTCCATTTAGAAATTAATGAAGGGACTGGGGAGATGGCTCAGTGGAATAAGTGCTTCCCTGGCAAGCGCAAGGACCTGAGTTCAATCCTTGGTTCTGGGAAAAAAAAAAATAACAACATAGAAATTAATGAAGGGCCAGCCAGATAGCTCAATGGGCTAAAGCACCTGCTTAGGCAAGTGCAGTGATTGGGGTTCAATCCCCAGCATGCTGTGTTGCCCCCCCACCCCCGGGCACGCTGAGACAGTGATTGAGACTGGGTGTGGTGACACAAGCCTGTAATCCCAGCACTTGGGAGGCTGAAAACAAGAGGATCACTACGAGTCTGATCTGTGTAGTGGGACCTTGTAGATCCTGTACTAAATAAATTAAATTAAAAGAAGAAATTAATGAAAAGTTTCTCCTTTATATAATATTCCTATTTTTAGCAAATGTATATGCATTTAAGAAGTAGATCATATATGGGGGAAACAGTACAGTTCACTGGAACATGGACTAGCTTTTCAAAAAGAAGCTCAAGGGCTGGCCAGACCGCTCAGCTGATTAAAACGCCTGCTTAGGAAGACGCAGGGACCAGGGTTCAATCCCCCATGTGCCATGGGGACCACTGAGATGGCGACTGAGATTGGTCGTGGCGACGCACACCTGTAATCCCAGCATTTGGGAGGCTGAAAGCAGGAGAATCTCTACAAATACAATCTGTGTAGTCAGACCCTGTAGACTCTGTAC